GTCGATGCTGACAGTGGGCAGCACAGGCACCCGTGGGCCCGGCACATACATCTCGGCCTCCTGGGATGGGGTGCAGAGAGCCGGGGCCAGGCTGGAGTTCCAGCCCCAGAAAACTTGAGCGACTTACCTCCCCCTCTGCGGTGCCACCAGGGCTATAAAATGGGTCACACCCCCTCAGCCAGGTCCTCAAGTCTACACCCTCATGGGCTCACCTCATTCCTCCCTGCCCCAGCAGCCTAGACACAAAGGGCCCGGCACTGCTGGCAGCAAATGCTTCCTGCCACAGTTGGCGCCAAGCCCAGCACAGCCCGGACACACTCAGGTCAAACCAATAGCGTGGCCTTCGCCCTCGGCCTCCTGTCCCGGACGGAGAGCAGGCCTGGGCTCTGAGACCCAGACACAAGTCCTGGGCTTCATTGGTTTCTCTGCTCGTAAGTGTATACACCTTCACTGTAAAAAGCCTGTAAACATTAGAAAAGAAAGATGGAGGAGGGCGTTTGCCCTAGGGGTGTAAGACACTGATGAGGATGCCCGCCACTCACATCAGAGTCAGGAGAATATGCGAGTCCAGGCTCCAGCTCCTGGCTCGAGCCTCCTGCTAATGCAGACCCTGGCAGCGATGGCTCAAGTGGCTGGGTCTCTGCCACCCATATTGGAGACCCAGATTGGGCTCCTGGCTCCCAGGTTCAGCATGGCCCAGCCCTAGCTGTCATAGGCATTTGGGGAATGAACCAGTGGCTGGAACATTCTCTCTCTCTCTCTCTCTCTCTCTCTCTCTCTCTCTCTCTCTGTGTCTCAAATAAATAAGTAAAAGTGTCTTGAAACACTTCAGGCGCCTGTTCTAGATTTCCGCAGCCTGAGGACGCTGACTGAGCCTGGCACGTAGCACAGGCCTACGTTCACCCTGACATCTGTGTCCTCGACCGTTTCTCCCGAGGCTTGGGGGCTCAGAGAGGTGAAGTGACTTGCCCAGGATGACACATCTCTTTTTAATGTGCCCCCCAAAGCTCAGGGGTTGGAAACTTGACCCCTAGCACAGCAGTGATGAGAGCTGACCAGGTCATAAGGACCACGCCTCCCTGAACGGATTGACGTGGTTATTGTGGGGAGTGGGAGTGTGATCCTTGGGGAGGTGATTGGGTCCCCTCCCCCACTCCTGCTGTCTTGCCTATGTGACACCTGCTGCCAGGTCAGGACACAGCAGGGTCCTCACCAGACAGGGCCCCTCTCCTCCAGAACTGTGAGCCAAATACATGTCTGTCCTTTCCAGTGGCCCAGTCTCTGGTCGCCTGCGGTAGGAGCACAAAACAGCCCAGGACTTGAGCCCTGAGAGTTGGGTTCCGGAATTCACATGGCACCTCTCACCCTGAGATGGGGTCAACGACTTTCCCAGCAGCTGGGAAGAGGGAGCAAGGTGTTCTGAGCACCATCACCCACGGAGCCTCATTATTCTACAGGCCTGTTTAGGGGGCTCCAGGCTTCCTCCTGTGTCTGGTCTCAGCCTCACCCCCACCCCCAGCTTCTGGTCTCTCTGCTACGCTGAGCTCTCTATGTTGGGGCGGCCCCCCACTTCTGGCCAGCCTGCCCCCCTGGCCCCCTGATTTTCAGTGCCCTCGTAACCTCCCCCATCTCATTCCCCTCCCACGTTGTCTTCTGCTCCTGCTCTCTCTTCGAGCCTGACCTTCCCCATTCTCTCAGCCCCAAACCGTCATGAACTGAATTTGGTCTGTGGTTAGGACATTGGTCCTTTCCAAAATAGTGTAACAGTGCTCTTCTCCGGGGTTCTCAGGGGTCTGTGTGGTGTGGCTGAGACAACGGGGCGACCACAGGCCAGAGAATGAGGCTGGACCCTCACTGTATACAACAGTTCAAGAAAAGAGAGCAAAAATGGTAACACTCTCAGAAGACGGCACAGGGGTACATTCTCATGATGTTGACCTTGCCCACGGTTTCTTAGATAGGACAGTGAAAGCACAGGCAAGACAAGACAAACGAGATAAACTGGGCTTCATCAGAATATAAAACTTGTGTGCACCAAAGGCCACTCACAGGAGACAGTAAGTCACACATTTGTTGGGAGTCCCGTTTCCAAAAGTCACCAGGGGAAAACATGACTGGAATGCTAAAGCCTACCTGTAGAGCTCGCGACATGCACACTACCTCTAAGCTGCAATGCAAGGCACAGAGTCTGGACACTGGAGCCAAGCACTTCGGAGGGGTGAATCCAGCCCGCTCTTCCACAGCCACAGGACTTGCTGGGAGAGTTCACTGGCTCTGCAGGGACTTTGCGTATGGAAGGATCAGGATGCCAGCTTGCTGTGGGCTGCCGGGGAAACCGAAGGCAAAGTCAGGGCCCTGGAGGTGGCCTGGTGCTTTCTGGGCTGTGCGCCGTGCTAGGCAGTGGCGGCTCTGCCAGTCACAGCTGCATCTCTGGGCCTTGCAGGGCTCCTGGCCCCTAGTTCTCTGAACTAGTTAAGGCCTCTTTGGGTTGTAAGCAACAGACTCAGTTCAGGGTAGCTGAGCAAAAAGGGGAAAGTCTTGGCTCCTGCAGGTGGCTGGTCTCAGGTTGGCTATACCTAAGGATAACTGAACAGTGGCCTTCATTCTCAGACAGGGTCTCGATAGGCGTGGCAGCAGGCTCACAAGCAGCTCCAGCTGATGCTCTCGGCCCCCAACAAAGCAACCCCAGGGGAGAGAGAACGTCCCTCTCTAGTTGCAGCAAAAGTCCTGGGTCTGAATTTCATTGGCTGACCTGGGTCACATGCCCAACCCTGGACCAATCCCTGTAGCAAGGAAATGAAATTCTTTGTTTGGCCGGGGGGCAGCCCCTTCCCTTTTCCTATCCAGGGACCCATACCAAGAAAACCCTTGGTGGGGGGGGGGGGGGGGGGGGCAGCAGAGGCCCCAGTGACCTCATCAGGGTGCTCCCATAGATACAGGTGAGTGAGAGCCACAGGCCTGGGGGCCTCCTTGCTCAGTGTGGGCGGCTGTGAGGCCCGGCCAGGGCGGCAGCCCAGGGCCCTGTGGTGACTGCGGCCCTGGGGCTGCCCAGCTCAGGGCTCCGTGAGAAACAGGCGCGGGCAGCGCCTGTTTGTTCCAAACTCCCAGTGCCTCTCAGGCAACCTGGAAAAACACAATTCCCCAAGCAGGAAGCCCGCCATGGATTCCAGCCTGGAGCCCAGAATGCCAAACCCTGTGACAGATTTAAAAACAAAACTTGAAAAAGTCAATGTTCACAATAGAACATTCAAAAAAAAAAAAAAACCCTTTATTTTCCTTCTTTATTCTACAAGGACTACACATTTATTGTAGGACAAAATTCAAAATACAGATAAGCAAAAAGTGATACAATTTCCCATAATCTCACCAATAAAATTTTATTGCAAATTTTGTCAGACTTTACAGACAAAAATTATAGTTTTTCTCATATAAGTGGGATCGTTGACATCTCTAACTTGTTTTTTCACTTAGTAATATGGGGTGAATATGTTTACATATCAATAAATATACACATGCAATATTACTTTAATTATCTGCATTTTTAAAGATTTATTTATTTATTTGAAAGTCAGAGTTACACAGAGAGGAGAGGCAGGAGAGAGAGAGAGAGAGAGAGAGAGAAAGAGAGAGAGAGAGAGAGGTCTTCTATCTGCTGGTTCACTCTCCAATTGGCCGCAACAGCCAGAGCTGGGCTGATTCAAAGCCAGGAGCCAGGAGCTTCCTCCGGGTCTCCTACGTGGGCGCAGGGGCCCAAGGACTTCAGCCATCTTCCACTGCTTTCCCAGGCTGTAGCAAAGAGCTGGACTTGAACTGGTGCCCATATGGGATGCTGGCGCTTCAGGCCAGGGCGTTAACCCGCTGCACCACAGCGCCGGCCCCCATTTTTCTTTTTTTTAAGATCTATTTGAAAGGTAGAGTTACAGAGAGACGAGGTCTTCCATCTGCTGGTTCACTCTGCAAACGTCTGGGCTTAAGCCAGGCTGAAGCCAGGAGCCCGGAACTCCACCGGGTTTCCCAGGTGGGTGCAGGGGCCCAAGCACCGGGGCCTCTTCCACTGCTTTCCCAGGCCCATCAGCAGGGAGCGGGATGAAGTGGAGCAGCCGGGACTGCTCAGGGACTGGCACGCATGCCACCTTCCCTGGCGGTAGCTGTACCCCTGGGCCTGTCTGCACAGTGCTTAATTGCACTTAATACGTTCTCTAACGTGTTTGTGCTCAGGCCTCCCGTGCGGTAGGACACGCATCCTGGTGCCTTGCCCGACTGCTCCATGCACGAGCCCTGGGAGGGGAGCAGGGGGCGCCCGGAGACCCGCGCCCACCCCCCGCCTGGTCCCTCCCTCCGGCCCTCGCCCACGCAGTTACACCTGGCCCGGCTGCCTCTCCGCGGGCGGCCCTCGTCCACTGGAGTGCTGGTCTTCGGGGACTTACCCTGGCTGCTGAGCGCTGTTTCACTGATCCCTCGGGATCAAACAACCTTTTGTTTTTCCGAGTTTACATCTATTTGTGATTCTGTGGACACATTTCAATCATGAGTAACCTCTGCGCGGGGGGGGGGTACAGAAGAGCCTTTCTCCCCTTCCCCTGGGCCCAGTCTAAGCCCACCCGCCCCGAGGCTGCGGGACTTTTTCTGTCTGAAGTAGATATTTAACACAGTCATCCATTCAACTACTATTTGGCAAGCGCTGGGCCCTGCGCTCTGATCTGGACACGCAGTGATGAACAAATGGGTATTGGGTCTACCCCTGTCCAGCTAACAGTTTCACAGTTTCAGAGAGTCCGATGAAGAGCGACCCGTTAAGTCCAGGAGGACCCAGGAGGACCCAGGAGGACCCAGGAGGACCCAGGAGGACCCAGGGCCAGCGGCGGCCTCCTCCAGCGAGCCCCGCCCGGCTGAAGCTCCGCCCCCCGAGCGTGGGCGGGACTAACCGCCGGCTTTCAGCGATGAGGCGGAAGTGGTGCGGTGCCCCGTGGGTTTGTGGGTTATAAAATGACTGTGGCTTCCGGCCCGGGCGCGCTTGCTCTTGGGTATTCCCGCTGAGGGCCGGCGGCTGGCCTGAGACGCGACCTCTGGGGAAGCCCAGGTGTCATGGCGGACCACGGTGGCCCTCAGTTTAGGGCCCGGGGCGCAGGCAGGTCTGTTAGCCCAGGAAGTCTGCGAGGCACAGGAGTCCCGCTCAGACCCCGAGCCCGACGGGGAGAGTGTGTGCAGGGTGGAACTCCCGCCCTGTCGCTCAGAGCAGGGCCGGCCATAGCCACCCCGGTCCGTGACGCTGGCGGGCTTTTCCAGTTTTCAGCAGTGTCCTGCGGTTTTGCACGTCTTTTGATACGTTTATTCATAAGTGCTTTACTCTCTTCAATGCTGTTGTTAATGGAATTCTTTTTAAAGATTTGTTTACTTATTTGAAAGAGTTACAGAGGAGAGAGGGAGGACAGAGGTCGTCCGTCTGCTGGTTCACTCCCCAAATGGTCACAACAGCCAGGGCTGGGCTAGGCCAGAGCCAGGAGCCAGGAGTCGTCCACATGGGTGCAGGGGCCCAGACACTTAGGCCATCTTATGCTGCTCTCCCAGGCACGTTAGCAGGGAGCTGGATCAGAAGTGGAGCAACCGGGACTCGAATCGGCACCTATATGGAATGCCAGCAGTTCAGACGGTGGCTTTACCCACTACGCCACAGCACCAGCCCCATGGAATTATTTTTTGAAAAGATTTATTTTATTTATTTGAAAGGTACAGTTACAGAGGGAGAGATTTTTTCCATACAGTGATTCACCCCCCAAATGGCCCCAATAGCCAGGGTTGGGCCAGGGGCCTGAAACTCTACCCGAGTCTCTCACCCAGGTGGCAGGGGCCCAAGGACTTGGGTCATCTTCTGCTGCTTTCCCAGGCACTGCAGCAGGAGCTGGACGGGAGGCAGAGCAGTTGGGACTAGGCCGCCGTGCTCATATGGGATGCCCGTGTAACCTGCTGCACCACAACACTGGCTCCTGGAGTTTCATTTTTGGATTTCCCATTAGAAGTTTAGAGAAATGCAATTGATTTTTGTGTACTAATATTATATCCTGAAGTCCGGTTAATTCCTTTGTTAGTGTCAGTAAATTTTCATGGATTCGTCCGTGTTTTCACAAGTAAAAGATCCAGTCATCCAAAAGAAGGACTGGCTTTGCTTGTTTCCAAACTGGATGGATGCTGCTCCTCTTCTGGCCTGGCTGCCCTGGCTGGACTCTCCCACGTGATGCTGAGTAGAAGCAGTGAGAGCGGGCAGCCCTGCGTGGCTCCTGACTTAGGGAGAAGCATCCAGCATCCAGGTGTTTCATAGCCGCCCTTCACTGGGTTGAAGAAATTCCCTTCTCTCCTGAGGGTGTTTTTTTTTTTTTCTTTGAGAGTTTTTATCAGTAAATTGTTTTGCATTTTGTCAAATGCTTTTCCTCTATGTTTTGCAATGAACAGTTTTTTTTTTTTTTTTTTTATCCTATTGATATGGTATGTTACATTGGTGTTTTGGGGGATGTTAAGCCAAGCTTGCTTTCATGTGGTAGATCTCTCTTGGTCATGGTGTAGAATTCTTTTGGTGCAGAATTTTTGATGTGGATTTATCTGGCTCTATCATGTTGAAGACTTTTGTGTCCTTACTCATAAAAGATGCTGATGTGTTGGCCGGCGCTGTGGCTCACTAGGCTAATCCTCTGCCTGTGCCGCCGGCACACCGGGTTCTAGTCCCGGTTGGGGCGCCAGATTCTGTCCCGGTTGCCCCTCTTCCAGGCCAGCTCTCTGCTGTGGCCCGGGAGTGCAGTGGAGGATGGCCCAGGTGCTTGGGCCCTGCACCCGTATGGGAGACCAGAAGCACCTGGCTCCTGGCTTCAGATCAGCGCAGCGTGCTGGCCGCAGCGGCCATTGGGGGATAAACCAATGGCAAAGGAAGACCTTTCTCTCTGTCTCTCTCTCACTGTCCACTCTACCTGTCCAAAAAAAAAAGATGCTGATGTGTGTAGTTTTCTAGTGATGTCCTCACCTGGTCTTGGGGGTCAGTGTAATACTGGCCTTACAGAATAGGTTGGGAAGCGCTCCCTTCTCTTCTGTTTTTGGAAGGGTTTGTGAAGAATTGGTATTAAATCTTCAAAGGTTAGGACTCCCCAGTGGAATCATCTGGTTGTGGGCTTTGCTTTGTGCATTGCATTTTGATTGCTAATTTAATCTCCTTACCTGTTATAGGACTACTCAGATTGTCTGCTTCTTCTTGAGTTAGTTTTGCTAGTTTGTATCTTTCTAGGAATTTGTCATTTCATCTAAGTTATTCATTTTGCTGACACACGATTGTTCATATTATCCCTGTAATTTCTTCATTTTTCTCCCTGGAAGACAGGTATTAATTTCCCCCTCTTTCATTTTTGATTCCAGTAATTTGAATCTCCTCTATTTTCTTGTTCAGTCTTGCTAAAGACTTCTCAATTTTGTGATCTTTTTAAAGAACCAGCACTTAGTTTCATTGATTTTCTCTGTGGTTTTTTTTTTTTTTTTTTTGTATTCTCTGTTTTATTCATTTCCACTCTAATCTTTATTCTACTTTCTTTAGGTTTAGATTTAGTTTGCCACTTTTTTTTTTTTTTAAGATTTATTTATTTATTTGAAGGGCAGAGTTACAGAGGCAGAGGCAGAGAGAGACACAGAGGTCTTCCATCTGCTGGTTCATTTCCCAAATGGTCTTAACAGCCAGAGCTGGGCCCATCTGAACCCAGGAGCCAAGAGCTTCTTCTGGGACTCCCTCATGGGTGCAGGGGCCCAAGGACTTGGGCCATCTTTTGCTGCTTTCCCAAGTGCATTAGCAGGGAGCTGGATTGGAAGTGGAGCAGCTGGGACTCGAACTGGCACCCATATGGGATGCTGGTACTGCAGGTGGAGGTTTTACCTGCTAAGCCACAGCGCCGGCCCCAGGATCTTAAATAGTAATTCTCTTTAGTCTTCTTGTCATGGCACTGTTTAGTCCATTCACATTCAGTGTCATTATTGATACAGTTGGATATATGTCTGGCATTTCACTTTTTGTTTTCTGTGTGTCTCACATCTTTTTTCTCTTGTTTTTTTCTTTTGCATTAAATAAGTATTTTTAGTGCAGAACTTACATTAATATTCACATTTACTATTTCTTAAGTAATTCCTCCTCCCTCCAGCCCCCGTTTTTCCTGCATTATTCCCCTAGTTGTTGACGCAGGTATCTTAGCAGAATGGTTTACCAGAGAGCTGGTGTTCAGCGCAGCAGGTTGAGCCACCACCCAGGACACCTGCATCTGAGTGGCAGTTCGAGTCCCCTCATGGAAAACCCGGATGGAGTTCATGACTCGGGGCTTCAGCCTGGCTCAGCTGCAGTTGTTGTGGCCACTTGTCACTCTGCCTTTCAAATAAATAAATTGTTTTTTTTTTTTAAAGGAACAGTTTATCGGAATAGCTTCAGTTTCAATAAAACATAGAAACATTATTCCTATATTGTTCTCCCTTTGCATGTATTGTTACACATAAAATGTTACAAAGTCAATACATTATCATTATTACTTTATTTAAGGTTGTTGTTTTTTTGCAGAAGCTGAGAGAAGAAACAAGAGCACACATACACACATATATATATAGTGAGATCTTCCATCTGCTGGTTCACTCCCCAGACGGCTGTAGCTGGTCCGATCCAAAACCAGAAACCAGAAGCTTCTTCTGGGTCTCCCATGTGGGTGCAGGCACCCAAGCACTTGGGCCATCTCCGTTGCTCTTCCAGGCACATTAGCAGGGAGCTGGATCAGAAGTAGAGCAGCTGGGACTCGAACTGGTGCCTGTATGGGATGCCAGCACTGCAGGTGGATGTTTAACCCACTACACCACAGCACCAGCCCCACGTGGTGAGTTCTATGTGAACTTTTTCTCATAACTTTTTTGCCAGGGCTGGCATTGTTGCATAGAGGGTGAAGCCGCTGCCTGCAGTGCTGGCATCCCATATGGGTGCTGGTTGAGTCCTGGCTGCTCCACTTCCTATTCAGTTCTCTCCTATGGCCTGGGAAAGCTGCAGAAGATGGCCCGAGTGCTTGGGCCCCTGCACTCATGTGGGAGACCAGGATGGAGTTCCTGGCTTCTGGCTTTGGCCTGGCCCAGCCCCAGCTGTTGAGGCCATTTGGGAAGTGAATTAGCAGGTGGAAGATCTCTCTCTCTCTGTAACTCTGCCTTTCAAATAAATAAATACATCTTTTAAAAAGTGGAGGCAAAATAAGGACATTCCCAGATAAAAACTGAGTGCGTTTGTTCTAGGAGACCTGCCTTCCAAGAAACACGAAAGAAGGTTCTTCAGGCTGAAAGCGAGTGACCTCAGCTGGCTACGTGACCCCACGTGAAAAACCGGAGTGTGCGGAGAGAGGTAACCATGCAGTTATGGAAGGCAGTGTCGGCGCATACTGTCTCCCCTTAACTCAGCTCAAAGACATGAAACAATGAGTACTCAATACACCATGGGCCTGTTACATACAGAAACACAAGTAACAAGACAGGGGTGGGGTCTCCCTCTCTCTCTGTCTCTCTCTGTAATTGTGACTTTCAAATAAAGAAATCTTTAAAATAAAACAAAGTGAAACACAGAAAACCCAAAGTGAAACACAACACGGTGAGTTTTAGCGTATTCATCATTGTGTGCATCAGTACCTTGACACCACCATCTAATTTAAAGACACTCCTGTTATCCCCTATCTATTAAGATTGTTTTAATTTATGTTTTTATTTTGTTTGAAAGGCAGAGAGACAAAGAGATCTTCCATCTACTAGTTCACTTCCCAAATGCCTGCAACAGCCAAGGTTGGACCAGGGTGAAGCCAGGAGTCTGGAGCTCGAGCTGGTCTCCCACATGGGTGGTGAGAACCCAACCACTCGAGCCATCCCCTGCTGCCGCTCAGGGTGGGCATTGGCAGGAAGCTGGATCCTAAGCAGAGGAGCCAGGCCTTAAACCGGGTACTGCGATGCAGGACACAGGCATTCCCAGTGGTGTCTTAACTGCTGTGCCAGATGCCTCCTGTTTTTTTCCTTAAGATTTGTTTATTTATTTGAAAGGCAGAGTTAGAGAGAAGGAGAGACACAGTGAAAGAGAGAGGTCTTCCATCTGTTGGTTCAGTCCCCAAATGGCCACAACAGCCCGCACGGGGCTGAAGCCAGGAGCCAGGAACTTCTTCCAGGTCTCCCACGTGGGTTCAGGGGCCCCGGTATGTGGGACATCCTTCTGCTGCCTTCCCAGGCACATTAGCAGGGAGCAGGACTGGAAGTGGAGGAGCCAGGACTTGAATCGGCATCCATAAGGGATGCTGGCATTGTAAGTGGCGGGTTAACCTGCAATGCCCAAGTGGCCACCCGGCCATCTCTGTTTTTTTAAACAGTATTACTGAGAAGCACGCTCACACTAGGTCAAGTGGAAAGGAGACTGTCCCTGAGATGAAATGGGCCAACTAGAGCCAACCTCAGAGCAACAGGAGGCAGCAGGCCGCTGCTGGAGCGCTGAAGCCTCTCACTGTCATTTCTCTGACCTGCGGCAGCGTCTGCTCTACGGAGCTGCGGCCCCGCTTTGTAGCACAGGGCTCACGGCCGCTGCCCCAGTTTCACACACTCTTTATATCCGGGACTGGACACACAGTCTGTGTGTCCTAAAACTCAAAACTTCAGGGCTGGTGCTGTGGCACAGTGGGTTAAGCCACTGCCTGCCACACCGGCGTCCCATATGAGCACCAGTTCAAGTTCTGGCTGCTCTACTCCCCATCCCCCACCCTAGGAAAGCAGTGGAACACGGCTCAAGTACTTGGATCCTTGACACACACACACAGATTGGAGAGGGGAGAGGAGAGAGGGGAAAGGGGAGAGAGAGAGAGAGGGAGAGAGAGAGAGAGAGAGAGGAGGGAGAATGGGAAGAGATGCAGTGTTCAGCATAGCTAATACAGGGCTAAAATAGCAACTTTTAGGACCCTGTGGGCGCTGGGAAATGGATGCGTGTTCACACACACTGCCCCGCTTACTTTAGGTCCATGTAACCGCAAGACTCCCTTGTGCAGAGCTGGGGTGACTGCCTTGTGGTTCAGGTGCCCTCTTGGGTAGAGGGTGTCCCTGTGGGAATTGGCCCTTCCCATGGTCCCTCAGTCTGGAAAGAACTGAACTTGGGGGAGGCAAGAAGAGGGGCTGGTGGGAGGGGCTTCTGGCAGTGGGAAAGGCCATTCCTTCCCCTTCGGAAGCCTGCAGGGAAGGTGGCCCCTCCCCCAGTGACTTGCTCTTGACCATGGCACGTGCTGCAGACCCTGCCTGGCCTCAGCTGCGCAGGGGGAGTGGCTGAAAGGCTGTGCTAGAACCAGCCAGCATGACGAGGCCACCAGACCCCTGGGCTTCCCGGGGGAACAGCTTTGTGAGCAGGCTTCCTTCCCTCCAAGTGTTGACATCCTAAGGTAACTCACCTTTTGCAAATAACGTTAGTCACTGAGAAAGATGATGTCTCCATTGCTTGCTTGATTCTCCACAAATTTCAAATGACTTTTGCCTGGTGTAGAAAGTGTTCTACTTTTGTTTATTGTAAATTACATGCTGTATCCAGAGAGAAGAGACACACAGAACGACTGTCTAGCAGCTTGATTTTGTCTTGAATCCCATGGCCTGCCACTAAATGACCCTTTCTGTTGGCACCTGCTTGATCCTGGAGTTCATTCTTTCTCATGAAGCCTCATGTTTCCACACCTTGTCCAGATGCCTGCCAGCACGTGTGGACTTTTTTTTTCTTTTTTAAATATTTATTTATTTACTTATTTATTTGAGAGTCAGAGTCAGAGAGAGGAGAGACAGAGAAGGAGGTCTTCCATCTGCCGGTTCACTCACCAAGTGGCTGCAACGGCCGGAGCTGAGCCGATCCGAAGCCAGGAGCCAGGAGCTGCTTCTGGGTCTCCCTTGTTGGTGCAGGGGCCATAGCCAAGAGCCAGGAAACAGATGCTGGCGCTGCAGGCAGAGGCGTCACTGCCTACGCCACAGCGGCAGCCCCTTGTGGATTCCTACACTCACTAAGGGCTCTGCTTGCCCGCTGCATGTTGGGCACCTTGCCTGGCAGATGGCTGCAGTGACTCACGGTGGCAGCGGGAGGATCTCCCAGGCACAGCTTCTGCCCAGTGGTCCTGGATGGCAGCCTGCGGACTCCTGGGCCTCTGCAGTGGTTTTTTATGTTTATTTCTTAAGAAGTTATCTGTTTATTTGAAAGGCTGAGAGTGAGAGCGAATCTTTTTAAATGGCTGCAACGGCTGGGGCTTTGCCAGGTCTAAGCCAGGAGCCTGGAACTCCATCCAAGTCTCATGTGAGTGACAGGGGCTCTAGTACTTGGGCCATCTTCTGGTGCCTTCTCAGCCAGGCGCATTAGCTGGGAGACGGGTCAGAAGGAAGCAGCCTGGACTCGAACCAGTGCTGTGCTATGCGATGCCAGCGCCACAGGCAGCAGCTTAGCTCGCTGGCCACGCTGGCCTCCTGAGTAGCTTGCTAAACATGAAGTTCCATCAGGGCCGGATGACATCGGTGTGAACAGCTCAGAGTGAAGTGTCACGGGAAGGCTCGGTGACGCCCAGCAGCCAGGTGCAAAAGGAGCAGGGAGACACTGCTGGGGTCCTTTCAGGTCCACCCTCAGCTCAGGAGCCCAGGAGGGAGCCGGCACCTCAGGGGATATCATGTGTGTGTGTGCACCTCTGGAGAGCTGTGCAGAAGGGAGAGGCCCAGGTGAATGAGAGCCCAGGGATCGCCTGGGGAGGGAGGTGCGGCCCCCTCCCTGAGGGCTGCAGTCCTGGCTCCGTGTGATGGGAAGGGGTTAACGGTCCAGCAACACTCAGGATGGGGCTAGAGGGCCTGCTTCCGTCCACTGACCCTGAAGCCCGTGGGCGCCACTCCATGTGCAGTGCGTGTGGAATGATCTCCACGAGAGAGACGTGAGCGGGGAGAAATAAAGCACACACACAGCTGTGCTTTTTTATATAGAATTTGTACAATATATTTCTCTTCATTTGCATATTTTACTCATAGCTTAACATTCTTTTTACAGGCTGAACTCACTCAGCTCATATAATCAAAATTCTTTCTTTCAACCAAATAAGAAAAATTCAAAATCGTAAACCCGTAAGAAAACAAATTAAAAACAATGATGAAAATAAGTCACTCCTCTCATTAGGAACAGTGTCTGTTTGTACAATATATATGATTTGGAACAGAATTTCTTTAGAGATTAGGCACATGTTTCCACAACACCTTATGCCTGCCAGGTTTCTCTCCGTCCAGGCAGTCTTGCCTCCTAAGAAGGGTCAAAAAGTGTTGATCTCGATGGGAATCCTTTGGGATGCTGCTGCTCCAGGCTGGAGACTGGGAAGGGAGTTGGCCCGGCTCTGCAGTGCCACCAGGTGGCCAGAAGCAGGGGCACGATGGGCTGCAGGGAGCCTCGCCAGGGCCCAGGCAAGGGCAGCAGCTGTGTGTGAAGGAAACTCAGGCCTGTTCTATGCAAACTGAAGAACAGGGAGACCAGAACAGCGAAGGTGGGGCGTGGAGAGAAGCTATGAGGAGTCCAGCATTTATTTACAGTGGCTTTTCCTGATGAGTGGTTGGGAAGAGAGCTGGTGGTAGCTGTCGCGAGTGGGAGGAGGTGACCCCTATGCCCTAACAGTCTGCCCTGTTTTAGTCAGTCGGAAGTGTGGAGGGTGTGGGTGGCGCATCTTCCCATTTGCCTTCCAGGCCCAGAGTGGGGCCTCTTCCCAACACAGACCAGCTCTGTGACAGCCCTCCAGGGAAACGCCTTGTGGTGACAACTACTTGAGTCTGAGTGGCAGAGAACGTGGGACCTCCGTTGTGGGTACAGGCAACTTGCAAAGCAAGATTGGTTTGCCCAAGACCAAAAGATGGGATAGGGGTTTCCACCCAGGAAACAGCACTGCCGCCTCACTCCCCACCCCCACTCCCCAAACCATGGGAATCAGGCCAGGCATGCCTGGACATCAGGGCAGAAAGGCCTGAGGCCACGGAGCTTGCCTGTTCCTGGCTCCTGTGACCACCCCCCCCCAGCCCCACCCTCTGCAGGATGGTTCCACCTGCCTGGGGCTGGGACTTGGCCGAGAACCTGATTTTGAGCCTGAAGGCCGCTGCACCTTGGCCTTCTCACAAAGCAAAAGTGCAGGAAGATGCCCCAGCCCTGCAGGCTCCAGCCTCCCAATCCAGACCTGTGCAGACGCTGCCAACAGGTCCTCAGAGGTCAGGGGCCACGCCAGGCCACGACTAGGCCAAGTGGTCAGGCGTGGCCCTGGCTGTGCTGGCCCCTCGGGTCTGGCCCAGACACTTGCCCTTTCATGGCAGCGGCCGCAGGCATTCTGCCTTCCCGCCAGTCCCACTGCGGCTGGTGCGGCGCCTGCGTGCCAATCCTGCTCACCCTCCACAGCGCGACTCTGGCAAGAGAACAACATTCAGCACTTCAGGGCAAGATGAAAACCATAAAAAGGAAAATGGGAAACAGCATATGCGAGAGCTAGTGTGGTTATTGCTGGATGAGCGACAGCCAGATGACCCCGCCGTCCTGGAGGTGGTGGCGTGACACTGTCCCCAGGCCGTCGCC